CACCGTGTCGCCGAAAAGGCCGGTCTGGGACACGGGGGCGTTCAAGAATCGTGTCTTGTCCGTCTCGCACATGTCAGCCAGACACAGCCGGAAATGGTGCTCCTGGACCACCATAGTGGACATCGCACAACCCAGAAACTCGAAGTAGATTGGTCTCTCTAAGCGAGATCCCAATTCGTCGGTCATCCGACGTGACGTCGAGATTGACCGACTGAAAGGGAACTGTGGTGATTACAGGTAAGCACAGTGATCTGTAAAGAACAGCAGTGTCGAAGCACATCTGACATTAAATAGCAAGTAACATTAAATTTTATTGGTTTTATAGTGCAGCTTTAAGTAGATAATTTCAACAAAAAAGCCTTACTGAATTATTATTATTTTTTCTTTTTTTCTTACAATCTAAGTTTATGTATAGACCAATTTGGAATAGATGTCACAGTTACATCACTTGCAGCTGTGCGCGCATTGTGGTGGCAGAAAAACACTGGGAACAAGTGGAGGCAGGGGCGCCGCTAGCAATTTTGGGCCCTATGAAAGAATATGAGGTTGAGCCCCCTACTGCACCAAACATACACTATATTGCCCAAAGTATTGGGAGACCCCACAATTCCCTAGAATATCATTATATGCTTAAACATTAAGATTTGTACTCATGGAAATTAAAGTAAAAACCTGTTAATTAGAAGGGGGTTTCCCAATACTTTTGGCAATATAGTGTACAAGCCAACCTATTCAAAATCTTTGTCTGCAATTTAATAATATTGAACTATTACTTTTGCTACTGCTTTTGACCATTAGGTATCAGTAACATAATTCATTCAGAACCTGTTTTATGGACATAGACTTTCTGTACCACACTAGAAGCACAGCCGTAATTCGCGTGCAGTGTATCTGGTTGCTATGACAACCTCACGCCTTCCTGCTGCTGCTCTATGTAATCAGAGTGTGATGTTGTAGATTTTCTATAGCAAAACTAAAATGTGTTTAAAAGTGTGACCGACCAAATCGTCTGGCTCGGTTTGATCCCCCCCCCTCAAACTCGAAGACATCTCTAATTTGATAGTTTACCACCTGATCTCACTCAGTGACTCTAGGCTACATAGGACGGGACGAAACCATGCAATGAATGGGGAGAGATAATTTTGCTGGAAATGCAGAAATAAGCCGTAATTTTGTTTTATTTGTAACTCTTTGGTAGATACATTTATAATTTCTATTACATTACTACTACTACTGTTACTACTAATAAAACAGATCTCTGGGGGCCCCAAAAGTGCGTGGGCCCTTAGAATCGTCCTAACTTTCCCCCCCTTAGCGGCGCCCCTGAGTGGAGGGAAACGTGTATTTCTTGTATTGTTCTGCCTTTGGATGTCCGAATCGGAATGAAAATCAATTTTATATAATACTGTCATCAAAGACGCCATTTGACGCTAAACACAGACGTTTAAACGGACAGACTTTGGATGAAACCTGCTATGATTACCATACTTTTAAAGCACAAATTTGATTTAAACAATAGGTCTACATAATATTTACATAGGGGACATATTGTATTAGCCCTACAGTTAAAGCATGAAATACTATTTAAACCTATAACATTTTACATAACATTTACCTATAAGTTTATATCTCCTAGTTCGGACTTTATAACTTTATTCAAGTCAACAATTGCGAGTTTATCAATTCTGAGGGAAAAAAGCCAGAAGCGTTGGATTATAAACTAAAAAGAAAGAATGACGAGTTGATTTTTCTTACCAGAATTGTGAGATATAATCAGAATTTTGAAATATAAACTCAAAATTACTTTTTTTTTAATTCTTTTATTCCTTGGCTTGCATAGACTGCTACATTAAAACAGTCATTTTCTGCCACCAGATAGGCTCCGCCCACAAAAAAACATCATGACTGTTTGCACTGTTTGTTCTGTATGTTACATTCTGTAAAAATATCTGTAATACTGTATTATTACACCACAGCTATGTCAGCGGATTCTGTCATACTACTTCAATTTGAGAGCCACAACTTTTCAAAACCAAATCTTTTTACAGTAAATCGTTGTGTTTTGGTCAAAAGACGTGACATGGCACATGTCTTTCATGAAGTCTTTGTTTTTTCTCATCCCACGTGTCTCTGCCCAGGCTGTGTATGCTTGGATGTTATACCGTCTGCTGTATTTTGATTTCCACCCCCATTTTCCACCATGACTGGAGAACCATACTTCCTGTTTCAATGAACTACACTGACTTCAGGCTGAGGATCCACATGTCACTGCTTTGTTTGACTACAACAAATCTAAACAATCAGTTTAGAGCAGAGCAGAACATATAAGAATTCGACCAATAATACATATCAACAATTAACTTACATTTAGAAACTTGGTGAATGTAGAGCACCTTTGAACTTATTAAGTGTCTGGCAGTTAGTAATAGTGACATAAGTATCGCCTACGCAGTCTGTACCATTTCATACCCTGGATGGAAATAGTCTATAATAGAAGGTACATTTCCTGTCTGGTAAGATGGTTTTGGATGGTGTCTCAAAGACTTGCTCAAGAGCTTAGTTCATAGACACGAGAAACCATGAATAAGATTTTTTAAGGGAGTCATTTTTGCACATCCCAAATTCTCCCACATCCCAAACTCTTTATTGAAAACGATTAATGCATCATTCTTAAAAGTACCTAATCCTTAAAATAACCATTTTTTGGTGTAACGGAAAACTTAATATTACATAATGGATGTGCAATAAAAAGCACATGTTTTAAATGGTGAAAAGGAGATCATAATCATGTGGTTAACTATTTAATGGTTATCATACCGTAACTGACACAATGCTAGTTTGCACAAGAGTAGATCTGCAGTGTCAATTGCATCTGAACTTATTTTGTTATGATTAGCTAAAATCAAGCTAGCGTTCAGCAAACAGTACTGCAAACATAATTGGATTCAATTGTGTTTAATGTTGCAGCTCAAAACGCATAAATTGTTTCCTGTAGAGTCTACAGGAAACAATTTATGCGTTTTGAGCTGCAACAGTGTAGACTATTGTTATTAGTTTGTGTTTTCCGTAAAGGGGCGAACAGGGGTGTGACTAGACCCTGGCTTTTGGGCTACAGCTCCAAATGCTTCTTCTATAGCCCCAGATTTTATTTACTGCTTTAAAGCTTCAGACAAAAATTCTTTATTATGTTTATATGCACACTGCAGCAATTTAATTGAAGGAAACTAAATAAATGAAAAAGACAAAGTGTATAAAAACTAAACAATCCCCCTTCGCTCATGAGATTTGACTAGTCCAGATTTGAGGCACCTCCACACATGGCTAAGAAACAGTATGGGCCAGACATGTTTGAACAATTTACACATCCTCTCAATGGAAAAGAATGTGTGTTAAATCCATTGAAGAAGATGCTGTTTTTAACGGTCTCGCAAACCTTCATTTGCCTCAGGCACCTCAAAAATGAAGCATATCACTATACTGTATAATGGGATAGTCAAAGTGTGAATAAATACCTAATGTCTGCTGGATATTTGTCTGGTATATAAGGTAGGCCTACAGCTCTGGAAAAAAAATTATAAGAGACCACTGTAAAATCAGTTTCTCTGGTTTTACTATTTATAGGTATGTGTTTGAGTAAAAAGAACATTTTTGTTTTATTTTATAAACTACTGACAACATTTCTTCCAAATTCCAAATAAACATATAGTCATTTATGGGATGCTCTCCACCAAGTCATTGCTGTTGGGTGACTTTCTGCCACTCCTGGCGCAAAAATTCAAGCAGCTCGGCTTTGTTTGATGGCTTGTGACGATCCATCTTCGTCTTGATCACATTACAGAAGTTTTCAATGGGGTTTAGGTCAGTGGCGTTGTGAGTGTGGGGGGCTTTGGAAGCTTAAAGGAGGGAACATGGGTTTGTTTTATTTTATAAACTACTGACAACATTTCTTCCAAATTCCAAATAAACATATAGTCATTTATGGGATGCTCTCCACCAAGTCATTGCTGTTGGGTGACTTTCTGCCACTCCTGGCGCAAAAATTCAAGCAGCTCGGCTTTGTTTGATGGCTTGTGACGATCCATCTTCGTCTTGATCACATTACAGAAGTTTTCAATGGGGTTTAGGTCAGTGGCGTTGTGAGTGTGGGGGGCTTTGGAAGCTTAAAGGAGGGGACATGGGATGCCCATTTTACACAAGTTGGTATGATTCTTTAGGGTCTTCATGAAATGTCTGAAACATACTTTGGTTAAAATTCCTCAATGGTTGTGTAAAACACCCTCTTTACCTTGTCAAAAACAGCTCTGTTCATAGCAACTCGTTTCGGTGCATGTCTCTTTAAATGATAATGAGCTACTGCTCACCCCGCCCCTCTCTTATGTGGGGCGTGTCGATACAAGACGCTGAATTGCTGCCTTGGATTCCGTATATGGCTTAGAGTTGGTCTTATTTAAGTAGCTAGCTATTTACGCAGAAACCAGCTGCAAATTGAAACAGCTCACTGGATGACAGTGACAGTGTGTTTTCTTTTCAGCGTTTCTGAGCTGGCAGACATGCCAGAAACCTAACTAAGTGGGAAAAAAAAGGCAAAATAATTGAAAATTTTATTTGATGTCCCCTTTAAACTTTTTGTCAAAAGCCTATGATATTTTTGAAGATGGAACATGTTTCACTTTCCAAATAAAATGTGTTTAATAACTTGTGATTTGTCTTCCAAGTATTAGAAATTTGTCAGTCCATGATAAAAAGCAGTCTGCGCTACTGGCTCTGAAGTCTACCGCTTACCTTACATGTTCATTCCACTAAATGCTGCTTTGAAGCCCTCGTTTTATGTTTCATATATTTAAATAGCCAGATCACGATCTCGATTCAATCACTCACGCAATCTTATTCCTAAATGACAATGATTCTGCTAGACTATTAAACCTTTGACAAGTACGATCACACTATATCTGCATTCACACTGCCGCTGACCCAGAGAGAACAGCAGGTATGAAACAAGGGTAACGCTTTAGATTACAACCCGCACGCAATGTACTGCGTAAGTAAATGTAACTGGTCTCTTATCCTCTTTGCGTTGTGTTGTGGCAATAAAGCTCGTGCTTCAATAAATCGTC